AAACGTTAAAAAAAAATTTTTAAAAAAAAACCTGAAGCCTCAAAAAATTATGATACTTATCCATTCAATAATGAATGCTTTAATGAATGAATTTTTATGATTTTTCATTCTAAAAGCCCCATGATCCCTTTGCACAAGGATAGTTGGTTCTCTTCCTATCAGCAAATCCCTATTTCAACCTACTATTTATTTTCATCTAGGAGTGATTCTCAAATTTGGCTGCACATTAGACCTCACCTGAGAGAAATGATAAAACATAGTATGCTGGGCCCCCACAGAGATAAACTGAGACAGAATCTCCAGAGAGTCAAACCCAGGTATCCAAAAATTTTGATGCTCAGAGTAAAGCACTCATGTTCTATAATCCAGATCAATGCTAGCTAATAGAACTTTCCGCGATGATGAAAATATTCTCTTTCTCTATACATACATACGTATATATATATATATATATACACACACACACACACACACACACACACACTGTCCAATAGAGTAACCACTGGATACATGTGGGTCTTAAGCATTTGAAATGTGATGACTGGGGTGACAGAAGAAGTGATTAAACTTTATTTAACTTTAATTAACTTAAATAGCTACATGTAGCTAGTTGCTACTGTACTGGCCAGTGAAGTTCTAGATCATCTTTGGGACTTCGTTTCCTCATGTGTACTGCCTGTAAAGACATCTACCATACTTTCCATTGACTCAACTACAAGAAAAGAAATGTCACTCAGTAAAAATATAGTTTAATTCAGAAGAATCATGTGTTTAATACCTGAAAATGGAACTTTCAGTTTTATTTATAATACAAAACAGTAATGTTTATTAATTTGCCAATAATTTATTAAGCATTTTATATCAAGAATAACAAACACCATCTTGTTCATCACAGATGAAAAAGACAAAAATGTCTACCTTTGTAGTATTTGTACTACCCTTGCAGTAAGGTACAAATCTATGCTAGATTTCTACCTTAAATCTAGCATAAAGACTTTTGCTGAGTATCTGTTAAAGAAATAAAGACTTAATACTACTCATTATCAAATCAGTACCAGAATATCAAAACCAGAATTGCAGTGGCAGCTAAAGATGCTTTGGAGAAAATGCAGACGGAGTAAGCATACCAAAAGAAAGGGTGTAAACACAGAACCTTACTTACTAGGAATTAACTGTTGTAAGGAACTGTTCTATCAGAGAGGGGAAGAAGCAAGTATTTCCAATGTGCACCAGGGATTTAAAAGTAATTGTAAACATAAGAATGAATATCACCACTGACTATATGGGCTTCAAAACCTGAACTATAATTATAAAACAAAATTCAGAGCTTTCATAAGCATAATAAACAGTGGCTACCAAAGGGTGAGGTCAAATCAAAGAGTAAATATAGAGAGAGGAAAAGATAATACTGTCAGAAAGATGACCAGGTGCTATGTGCTAGGAACTGACAAGCACTTGAATAAACACTGCCTTACTTAATCCAATCTACAAGGATTATATAGATTATATAACATAAAAGCAGCCATATTTTTAAGACGTGAAAAAAGCTCAGTGAGGCTACATGACTCATCCCGGGTCAAACAGCTAAGCTGGTAAGTGGCAAAGCCAACTCTGTCCATGCTGCTTCCGTCACACCAACTTATCTCTGTGCAGGAAATCTCTTCCTTTGCTTGGCTTCCTATGCTCACATTTTACTCTGTAGGTGAAACATGAGACAACAAGACCGATGTAGTAAAACCTACACTAGACTATAAATTTCTTTATGGAAAGTGTTTTATTCATTCCCTACTCATACCTATACTCCTTACAGTGCCTCACACACAGTAATGACACAGTAAATGCCTGTTAGGTTGAACAGAATGTTAAAAATGTTGACATTTTAAAAATAAGTACTGTCAAAATCCTAAGACTCCCCTAAATAGTAAATAGTGTGGTGAGTACTTAGGGGCAGAGAGTAAGTATACATGACTATTATAAAACAAGACCTTTCTAGTACCTTGATATGTTTTACACCACAGCTGACAAGTTTATTTGGCTGGTACAAGTCCCAAGAGATATCAAATATCTGTAAACAAATCAGATTCATGGTTAAAATACTTATTTTCAGAATCACTTAAGAATCCATCCAAAAGACCAAATGCCCCAACACCCTACCTATCATAAAACAATATTCTTCAATGAATAATAATCAGAATCCCACACTTCACAATCTCATGAGAAATAAATATGTAAATGATATGAACAAAAATTATTTCTTAAATAAAGACATGCCATATGGTTTCACTCATATGTGGAATTTAAGAAACAAAACATGAACATAGGGGAAAGGGGGAAAAAAAGAGAGGGAAGCAAATCATAGAAGACTCTTTACTATGTAGAACAAACTTAGGGTTGCTAGAGGAGAAATGTGTGAGGGATGGGCCAAAAGGGTAATGGGTGCTGTGAGGAGCACTGGATGTTATATGTAAGTGATGAATTGCTAAATTCTACTCCTGAAACCAATTTTACCATATATATTAAGCAGAATTTAAAAATCTGAAATAAAAATAAAATATTAATAAAAAATTATTTCTTAGCTTCTATGAACTTTATGAAACAACTAGTGAAGTGAAAATTAATGCCTCTTTTTAATTTTTTAAAAAATCTGGTCCAGGGGCATGTGAGTGGCTCAGTCGGTTAGGTTTCTGACTCTAGATTTCAGCTATGCTCATGGTCTCATGGTTTCTGAGATGGAGCCCTGTGTCAGGCTCTGGGCTGACAGCAAAGAACCTACTTGGGATTCTCCCTCTCTCTCCACCTCTCTCCCTCTCTCACTTTCTCTAAAAAAATAAGTAAACATTAAAAAAAATAAAAAATTTCGTCTGTAAGTCGCAAGAATGTTCAACAGAACTAGGGCATGAGGCAAGTACCTATATAATTTCTGCACAGAAAACATAATGAATAGAATGTACACTTAACACAGCTAGAAACAGAGAACTTTTTTTAATGTTTATTTATTTTGAGAGAAAGAGAGAGAGAGGGCAGGGCAGAGAGAAAGGAGAGAGAATCTCAAGCAGGCTCCACACTGTCAGTGCAAAGCCCAACGCAGGGCTCAATCTCACTGACTGTGAGATCACGACCTGAGCTGAAATCAAGAACCAGATGCTTAACCAACTCAGCCACCCAGGTGCCCCGAGAACTTTTTTAAGCAATTGAAATAGGGAATGTTTTTATAGTTTTCTACCATACAAAACTACTTACATAAAGAATCCAAATATTTATTTCACAGTGAAAATTGTTTTTATTTTTTAGCTTTCTTTATTGTTTATGGGTCAAACAAAATTACTTTATACTTAAAATTTGGAGATCTCAGGCTTTGTTCTTGTCTAAGATTGCCAAAATTCTAAATTCTAACCAACCATTTTTGTTATAATAGCAAACGACAAAAAACCCAGCTGAAAATATGCAATAGAAACATGTACTTTAATAACAAAAGAAAAGCTCTTGAAAAATAATTTCATAGCAGAAAAAAACAATTGTTACTCTTCACCATGTTTCTTTTAACACCTGCCTGCATAATCACCTAAGATGCTTATTACCTTTAAAAATGTATAAAATTATATTCTTCAGTAATAATAAGGATTACATCTTATAAATTAATGTTTAACAAGTCACCATACACAGATTATATGAAAACCATATTGATGCAACTTTAAATACTAACTACAAAAATACTTTAAAAATTCCAACAGTACCATTCTTCATAATAATCTATTTACTAAATCCAAAGTGTGTAATGCTTTAAGTCAGAATATGCAATTACCTAATTAAAATATACAAATCTGATCTGTTACACTTTAATAATTATCTAAATTGTGTTTGTGAGTGTGTAACAGGCCCTTTTGAGAATCTGCTAAAAGACAAGTTTATTTTCCAAAATGCAAATACACACAAAATTTTCTATGCTACTTTTATAGATTCATTCATAGATTCCCCCCCCGCCCCCCCCCCCCCAATAGAATCAAACACTGTATCTCCTGTGCTGCTTCAGGTCATAATTTTACTACACACACACACACACACACACACACACACACACACACACACACAAATGAGACATTTTACAAGGCTTATAACGTTTTTGATGTATGTTTATAAAAGTAAATTTAATTAAAAAGTTGACTACAAAGTATTTTTTATGATTAACTTTATATAGCTTAGAACAAGGAATGTATTTTTAACAAGTTTCCAAAGTAAAAAATGTTAGGTCTCTAAAATTTTTAATATGAATACATAATTTCAAATTCACACATACATATCATTTTTCACTTTGTGATATATATATAACACATTAGTGATAAACCATACTAAATAGACCATAGGCATGAACCATTCATCATTTATCCTGAAGCAAACAATGGTTAAAAGTTTAGCGCTAACACTATGCATACTGAGTCATATTTTTGAGTACTACAATACATACATGTTCTAAAATTTTCTGAGTATTTACAGTTGTACTTTAAATTATTAGTTACATATGAACTACCTGGCAATAACAAAGTACAGAAACACAAAATCCTCTGGCTCTCCTCTGGCTTTTCCCCCATCCAGTACCCAGTAGAAACCCCAAAGGAGAATACTTACTCTGTCTGTGTGGCCAGGGGCCATAGATAACATTTTTCCCCTTTTCCAATCCCAAACACAAACTGCATTCTTTGAATCAAGTCCAACTGAAACCAAGCGCTGAATTATATCCAGGAAGTCCATGAGGGAATAAAAAGCAAACAAATCAAAAAGGAAGCAAATTATAAACAAATTCTACTCATGGGCATCAAAACATCAAAACTTACACATTTATGTTTTATAGACCTAATAGAGAAGGGCTGGATGTATTTCATCTTGTTAATATTCACATATGCGTAGTTCTTCACATTAAGAAACAGAAGAGAGACTTCCATTCTAACAGTAGCACTGACAAAATACCCTAAAACATCTCTCCTGCCAAAAACTAAAAATGCTAGATAAAATGTAAAAACGTCTTTTTAAATGCACTGCTGAGCTGTCAAGGAATTAAGAAATCTGGAACAAAAACAAAGTGATTTCACATAGGAATCCTGGAAGGTAAGAAAGCTCCCACATCCACTTTACTCTAAAGGCACCAGCTAACTCTTAGTAAGCCTGATGTTTGTTCTATAGACTGAACAAGAATGGGAGGGAGATAAGGTTTAGGGCCAGCCCAAGGTATAGATTTGAATTTCAGATATCTAAAGCAGTGAACTGCTCAGAGAAAGGGAAAACAAGAAAGTATCCCTCCCCTGTTTTTAAAGTTTGTTTGTTTGTTTGTTTATTTATTTATTTTGAGAGAGAATGAATGAATGAATGAATGAATGACTATCCCAAGCAGGCTCCCTGCTATCAGCATGGAGCCTGACACAGGACTCAAATTCAGGAACTGTGAGATCATGACCTGAGACAAAATCAAGAGATGGGCGCTTAGCGGACTGAGCTACCCAGACACCCCAGCCCTTTTTAAAAAAGAGGTGGCATGAAGGGGAAGAAAAACCTCCTGGCAAATGGATAGATATAAGCAGCTTTCATCTGGTTGTAGGGCCTAACTCCACATTAATCATAAACCCCTCAAGCGGAAAATTTTATTCAGAGTGGCCCTAAGGGTTGCAGTCTTCAGGCATCTTCAACAATGTAGCAAACACAGGTGAATATAAATCCTATCTGGAGAACTGACACTTCAATCCATCCCTCAAAGAATTCCTACAAGTAGCAATTCAATAAACACCTCTAACCCCCATAACCATGGAAAATAAGAAACAACAAGTAAGAATCAGCAAATCAAGACAAATAGCAAAATCAGTCCTATAAAACATCAGACATTGGAATTATCAGGTGAACAGAGATCTAAAATTAAGGCTTCAAAATATCTTCATATGAAGAAGGAATAGGAGACTATAAAAAGTATCCAAGCATATCTGAAGAAGCGAATGGAATTTCTAGAAATGAAAAATAAAATAAATAAAATTTAAAACTCAGTGGAAGAGTTACATAGGCAAGTAGAGGGAGATGAAGATACAGAGTTAAAAAGAGGAGCTAGCAAGATGGAAAGTGTGAGAGAGGTTAAGAAACGTGAGAGATGGAATTCCAGCCATGGAGAAGTATCAGGGTCTGAACCTGCCCCCCTGCCATAAACAACCAGAAACTACACAAGTGTGCAAAAACAAACATTTTCAGACATTCAAAACAGGAAGTGAAGCACTGTGAACTCTCAAAGGGGGAGAAACAAACAAGGTGAGACCTGTACTTGCCCTAGCCTTCATCTAGGAGGCAATTTCCATATTATAGCACAGAAAGGTAGAATCCAAACAGGGCCCAGCAGACTTGCTGATTTGAGAAGACAGAGCGAGCCTAGAGTTCAGACGTCATGGCTAGGATTTGCAGAGCAGAGAAAGAGCTCCAGAAAATTTGTTTATGGGTCCCCTTGAGAACACCAATCTTTTCATGCCCAGGGTGAAATCCGTGAGGCCATGCAAAGAACAAATTGTGGACAAAAAGCAATTACTGGGGAGCTACAGCCAAAAAAATTCCCAGAGATCATAAAGGGTCAGGATCACTCAAGTTCCCAATAGCCAGAATGGAGATAACTCTTTGAATTCACTAGGTATTCAGTAGGGATCCCAGAAGAGTTGCACCTTAGTGGCAAAGTTAAACCAGTAGTCCTAGAGGAAAAGCTACTCTAGCCCTGCCCCCCAAAAAGCTTGAAAGCAAGCTTTCACAAGGATTAAACTTATTCACAAGGAATTGCACTACCTGCCAGAACAATGTACAAAATACTTTATTTTTTTTAATGTGCAAAATACTTTAAAGGAATACAACAAAATCCAGAATTCAGAATATAACACATACAGTGTCCAGCATCCAATAAAAAAAATTATTGGACATGTGAACAAAGAAGAAAATGTGATGAATAACCAGGAGAAAAATCAGTTAATAGAAGCAGACCCAAGAATCACAGAAATGATTAAAATTAGGAGACATTCGCTATTAAAATGAAAATGTTCAGGATGCTCAAGAATTATTTTTATTATTTTTAAAAATTTTGTAATGTTTATTTATTTTTGAGAGAGACACATACACACATGCATACACACAGAATGCAAGTGGGGGAGGGGCAGAGAGAGAGGGAGACACAGAATCCAAAGCAAGCTCCAGGCTCCAAGCTGTCAGCACAGAGCCCGATGTGGGGCTTGAACTCACAAACTGTGAGCCGAAGTCGGATGCTTAATCGACTGAGCCACCCAGGTGCCCCAAGAATTATTTTAAAACATACAAAGAATAAAAAGAAATGGAAGATTTGAAAGAACATACATAACTTGTAAAAATAAATGTTGAATTATGTGAAATAAAAATTCACACCATAGGATTAACAGCAATTTAGAAAATTAAGAAAAGATAGATGAACTTACAGATACAGCAAGAGAAATGATTCAAAATAAAGCACAGAAAAAAAAAAAGGAAAAAAATTGATGGTGCCTCACCTAACTTTAGAAAAACATCAAGTGGTCTAGTATACAGGTAACTGTAGTTCCAAAAGGAGAAGATGGAGGCAAAGAAAATATAAAATCAGAGAAATGATGGATAAAATTTTCTAAATGTGATGAAACTCATAAACCCAGCAAATCTAAGAAGTTCAATAAACTCCCAGCAGAATAATCACACAGAGAAAACATACATCAACACAAATGGTAATAAAATTGCTAAAACCAGTGCTAAAGAGAAAAATCTTAAAAGCAGTCAGAAAAAAAGACAATTTTAGTATGGAGGAACAAAGATTAAAAAGTTATTCTAGATTTCTCATCTAAAGCTATACAAGTCAGATGACAATGAATAACCTCTTTAAAAATTCTAAGGAGGAAAAAGGCAACATAGAACAATATACCTAGCAAAATTACCTTTGGAAAATTGGGTCAAAATAGGCTTTTTCAAGTAAACAGAAGGTGAGACCTGCACTAGAAGATATGATAATGGAAATTACTTCAGCCAGACAGAAATGATATACCTGTGAATTAAGCGTCCAAATGGTAAATATGTAAATAAGACTTTTATTTTTAATTTTCTTTTTAAACTGTTTAAGGCAAAAATAACAATAGTTATTATGGGATTTACAAAATACATATAAGTAAAATGAATGAAGACAGCACAGTAAACAGAAGGAGAGAAAGGAAACAGCAGAATATATTTTTTTCACATCCTTTCCAAGTGCACATGAAACTTCATGAAGATCACAAAATTCTGAATCACAAAATAAGCCTAACCAAATAAAAAAACCCTAAAATACAGAGTATGTTCTCTGACAAAAACAGAAATTAGAGTAACAGAAAGTTGTGCAGAAAATCCTCCAAATGTGTGCAAATTAACAATACACTTGTAAGTAACTGAAAGGGATAAAGAAGAAATCACAAGGATCAGCCCACGACACAGATTTTTTGCCCTGGGTTAGAAGCAGGGGTCAGCAAACTACAACCCTCAGGCCAAATCCTTCCTGAATCCTGTTTTTGTAAATACAATTTTACTGGAGTGCAGCCATACACATTCTTTTACAAGCTGCCCATGACTGCTTTCCTACCACAATGCAGGGCTGAGGAGTGGCAACAGAGACCATATGTATGGTCTACAAGGCTTAAATATTTACTGAGTTGTTACAGAAAGTGCACCAGTTTACTAACCTCTGATTTAAAGCATAGATTCTGATATCAGACTACCTACGTTTGAACATCAGCTCCATCTCTCATTAATTAATTAGATTACTTTCAGCAGTTATGTAGCCTCTCTGAACCGCAGTTTCCTCACCTATTAAGTGGGAATAATAAAAGTGTTTCATAGGGTTACTATGAGAATTAACATATATACATACACAAAAAAGTTAATATGTGGTTAATGTTACATAAATGTTTGTTATCATCATCATTGTTAATTTACCACAACCATAACTAGCTTTAAGAACCTATGCCCTCTACCTGTCTGAATGAGAAATGCCATCTAATACTCAGAAACAAATTCTGCAAAGTAGAATTACTATTTAAACCCTCAAATGGGCAGAATGAATGGCTCCCATGAAAAGATACAGTATATAGTTTGTTGTGGCTCTCCATCAAATCACCCTGGCAGAAAGACCAAGGGAACAAGAGGAGAGGACTTACTTTTCCTGAGAGTCTTGGGAATTACAGGGTATCAGTAAATATCTAGCTAAAAGAAATCTACCTACTGTGTAGAGATTAAAATTTCACAAAACAAATATAAAGTGAGGAATAGTCAGAGGGGGACTGTCCATTCTATTGATGCTTCTTCTGACTTGGCTCATCCTACACACACAGCAAACCACAATGGGCCAAAAGCTTTAAAACTCCATGTATCTCCATAGAGCCTCAAAGCATCCAGCTCTGTACAGACAGTGAAAAAAAAGGAGATCTGGGAGCACTTCCTCTGTAGCCCTGATAAACTTAACATGGCCAAAATCAACCTCCCTCAGCACAGGTTAAGCAACAGCAGAGAGGATAAGAGAGAAATAACCAAACCCATACTGCTTCCTCTCCTAGCTTTCTATCATTTTTTACTGTATCATGTTTTCTCACATTTACCCAGCCTGGGTAGGTGAGGAAGAAGATAAAGTTTTCCAGTAAAAGTAACGCTTTAACCATGTAAGAGTTGGGTAGAAAAGTAAGAGAAAGTGCCTTTCAGACCAAAGGACAGCAAGATTAGAGAGATCATGGTGCCTTCAGGAAAAAGCCTAATTCAGGGTAGCTGAGGGGAGGAGTGCCAACTGGAAAGTGGCCAGAGACAAGGCTGGAGAAGCAGGCCAAAGCCAGAAAAAGGATCAACTTTGTCTTTTAAGAGAGTTGGAATAAAGAGAGATTCAGTTTTAAAGGTATCATACATCGTATATTTGTATGACATTTGGCAGGGATGGGGGGCGGTATCTGGAGTTGAGGAGAGAAGCTGGGGCCTCACTGTCAACTGAC